AAAAAAAAAAAAGCAAGTAGAGAGTTTAGCACAGTGTCTGGCCTGGAGCCAGCCCTCAGCAAGGGTCTGTGATTTTGTTATTCCCATCTCAGAGATGAGAAAAACCAAGACAGAGAGAAGGCAGCCTTCAAACACTCACAGTACAGTTCTGCCTTTCAAATGAGACTCTGTGGCCAAACAGGGTTCCTTCGGGTTCTAGAACCAGCAGCCAGCTTGTGGTCCCCACACCGTCTACTGGCCTACTCCAGGCTGGCCCTGGCAGAGCTCAGCAGCTCAGCAAGGAATCCAAATCCGAACCCGCAGGTGGTGGGGCACACAGGGCAGTGGCTGTCTGTTAGGTGCAGAAGGCACGCATGGTTACTCCCAGCCCCCAGCACAGTGTCTCCACAGCTTGCCCAACAGTTCTGCTGTCGGCACTTTCCTGCTGTGTGAATCAAAACAAACCCTTCTCCTTTTACGTCGATTTTGTAGGGCATTTTGTCACGCAACAAGAAAGCTCATTCATACTAAAAGTAACAAATACAAGGAGATGAAGAGCCAACAGCAAACATCTGAACAGGAGATGAGAGACTGCTGGGACCCAGCCTGGTCTCCACATACATTGATAGAGCCCAAAGCCACGTCTGTGGAACGTTCTGCCAGACTTCAGGAAATGGAAGCCATTGGGAATACCAGCCTGGCTCCAGGGACCAAGGTGGGACACAGAGGAGTTCTCTGAGTAAGTGGGAGGCAGGAAGGAATCCAGCAGGGGGATGCTCAAGCATCAAACAGCATCAAAGCCTCTTGTGCTGAGAGACAACTTCCGGTCGGGGGAGGTCAAGGGTCTCAGGAGACAAGCAGGACACAGTCCAATAGCCTCTTGGCGAAGGAACGCCCAGGATACCTACTGTAAGACGACATGAGGAAGCCTGTGTTCACTTTCCTGGTGGCACTGAAGTTGGGCTCGATTTCATTTCCCTTGGGGTCAAACTTACGTCGGTGAATACAACTGGGCCGGATATACAAGACATAGTAGCGATCCTGGGTGAAGCAAAGAATGGGTGAGGAGACTACCTCATTCACCACCCCAGTCTGAGCGCGCGCGCGCGCACACACACACACACTCACGCACACACGCACACACGCACACACACCATAAGTACCTTCATAGTAGCAAAGACATATTCACATATAAACACCACACACGCGCGCGCACGCGCACACACACACACACACACACACACACACACACACACACACACACACACACACGCTCACACACACGCACGCACACGCACACACAGAGCCCAGGCTTTCCATGCATCCTCTGCCCACCTCATCCTCTGTCTCAGAATCCCATCATTCTACACTAATCCTATACTCACTAGAGTACCTGTCCACATCACATGCCACACAAGCCATGGCAGGGCAACACAAGGCCTCCAAGGCTTCCACACAACCAATGACCAAAAAAACATAACCCAAATGCCACAAGGCAGGAGGGATGTTGCCAACATGCCACGGAAAGGACACTGAGGACCTAAGGGAGGGCAGTCACTCTGCTGCTCCCAGACACAGTACTGCGGCAAATCACCTCACCCCTCCCATGCCTCAGTTTCCCCTATCATGTGGGAACAACATGATGCTTCCTTTCAGGGACATTACAGGGATCCTGTGACACCATGGAGGAGGAAGCACTTGAAAAGCAAGAAATGCACTGAGAAGTTATTGGCCAGGTGTTCTAATCAAAACAGGCACAGGCAGGAACAGTGCCCTGAGAGGGGAGAAGCAGGTGGGACTTTGGGACAACCACGAAAGGTGAATTTGCAAAGAGCAGAGCCACCTGCAGGTGTGGGACAAGGGTGTAGGAAGAGCACCAAAGGCCTGAGACAGGCCTGAGGATGTCAGGTGCTTGTCTGGCGTATACCAAGCCCTGGGTTTGAACATCAGTGCTACATAAACCTGGTCCGGTGGTGCACCTGTGATCCCAGCACTGTGGGGGAAGAGGCAGGAAGATCGGAAATTCAAGGTCATCCTCTGCCAAAAAAAAAAAAAAAAAAAAGCCTGAGCCAGTCAAGAGGCCATGGGCACATCTGAGCAATGCGTGTGGATCACTGAGAGGCCCCTTGGCAGTCCAAGCTGGAAAGCAGCTGAGATGGGTTTTAGATGGGCCTCAAATTGCCATTGGAAATTTGGATCTTCTTTGGTAAGTAAGAAAGGTTTGGGGGCAGCTACAATATGCCAGAGATGTCTTTCTGAAAATGAGTTAGCAGAGGGCTAACTGGGGGCCACCAGAAGGTAGGAAATGAGGCACAAAGATTTGAGAGGAATAGCTAAGGGCCCTGTGGAGGACCATGGAAAGAGGAAGAGGATGAGAGAGAGAAAGGGAATGGTTGGGTAGGAACTAGGCTGCCTGGGCACTGCTTACCTGAGGAGGAGGATCAGGGAGGAGCCAGGGGCTCAAAGGCTAGTGGCTGGCAGGGCTACTGCCCTGTGTGTCATCAGGGACACACATTAAGGACAGAAGAGACACATTTGGAAAGGGTCTGTGTGAACACCTGCCTGTGCTGGGCCAGCTGAGGCAGGCCAGCTTCACACTGGGACAGCTCTCCTGGGCAGGCTGGGTGGGGGCTCCAGATTGGTATGCCTACCTACTGACCTACAAGCTAAGGAGCAGAGAGTATGGCAAGATCTCTGGGCATGAAAACAGTGAGCCAGTTGTGGAGACTGCTCTCATGGAGTGTATGTAATACAAAAGCATAGACTGAAGCCCAGCATGGTGGCACGTACCTTTAATCCCAGCAGAGGCAGGTGGATCTCTGAGTTCAAGGCTAACCTGGTCTACAGATGGAGTTCTAGGAGAACTAGAGCTTAAAGAAACCCTATCTCAGCCAGGCGGTGGTGGTTCACACCTTTAATCCCAACACTCGGGAGGCAGAGGTAGGCGGATCTCTGTGAGTTCGAGACCAGCCTGGTCTATAAGAGCTAGTTCCAGGACAGCCTCCAAAGCCACAGAGAAACCCCATCTCGGGGGAAAAAAAAAAAAAAAAAAAAAAAAAAAAAAAGCATAGGCTGAGTGTAGAACCTGGCCTCTGCCCACTTTGAGAAGGCCCAACACTGATGCTAACCTGAGGTTTTGAGAACAAGCACTGAGGAGACAGTATGCTCAGCACATCCAGACTATCTGAAGGGCAGAAGTACAGAACTAATGCTCAGAAAGGAGACATGGGCTAGTACAGGATGACCCTAGGAGTAGTCATGGACACCTGGGATGTGTGGGCTGTGAACACAACCTGAGGAGCCTGTGAAGCAAAGACAGAAGGCCATCCATACAAGAGCTGCAGGCCCAGACGTCAGTGATTAGTCTGTATTCAAGCTAGCTTGGGTTTGGGGTCTGGTCTGTTCTTTCAGTTATAGCAGAGGCTGTTCCTGCACAAACCATGTATTCCTTCCTGTCTGCTACACTAAAGGGCTCTAAAAGTCCTCTTTCTACTGGTCCTGCTTGGCTGTGGCAATATGTTCCATGAGCCCCTCAGGATTGGCCTGGATTCCATGTCTTAACCCAGTACAACAGGATGTCACATAGGTGAAGGAGGAGGAGACCCTGTGAGTACCACCTAGGATGCAGCCTCACCTTCCGGCCATGGGCATCCAAGATGCTGTGCTGAGATACATCCACCAGCTCTCCCTCCAGCAAGACGCCATTTCCCCTGGGGGTGAGAAGGAAGCAAGGCGGTTTCTGTCAGTCCTCAGGAAGCCACACTAGGGTTTAGTGACCTGGGTGAGAATCTCCACTGAGACAGAAACAAGTCTCATCCCTGACTTCATTCACCTGTCTCTGAGGGGGGCCTGTTGTGAAGCCACCACTCTCTGCTTCCCCTATCAGAGCCTCCATCCCTGCAAAGAACCTTCTAGGCTGTGCCAAGGCCAAGAGATGCACCCACCACCACCACACACACACACACAAACACACACACAGACAGAGTGGGAATTATTGTGACCAGACCGTCAAGATTCTTATCCACAAATCACACACACAGAGTGGGAATTATTGTGACCAGACCGTCAAGATTCTTATCCACAAATGAGGAGAAAACAGCTGCCTCACTGTGCCCCTCTGGTGCTGGCCTAAGAGCACAAATGCAAAGGGGATTGTAAACTACTAAGTAGTTAATAAATGGAAAGTGTCTTTTTAAGAGCTGGGCTTGATGGCACACACCTGGAATCCCTGAACCTGGGAAGGAGGATTGCCGTCAGTTCAAGCCCAGCCTGGGCTTACAGGCAGTTTTAAGCCCCCTGGTGCAGGTACTTGGAAGCGAGCTTGGGTCCTCTGAAGAGCAGCAAACCTTCATCACTGGTGAGACATTTCCCCTATCTTAAAGAACGTTTGTGTTCCTGTTTCCCATTCATTCTTACATGATCATCAACACAGGGAAACGGTTATTGTCACCATACAGCTAGAAAATTAGGGTCTCAGAAGTTTGGGGGATTAGCTAAGATCACAGGGTAATGTATAGAGTGACCAGACCTGCCCCTTACCACTTCCAAAGGATAGTGTTCACAAAAGTAGAACCTGGGACCTGGGCTGTCTTTGGAAGCATCAACATGAGGAAAAAGTGGGTCTAAGCAGATAGTGGAAGAATGTTAGGCCAAGACTCCTTGCCTTATATATTTTCTCCTCTCAAATTCTTTCTAAAAACATCTAACTGCCAAAGACAGCATATACTGAAGGCATTTAACGAGATGACTTGATATGTACACACATTGTGTAATGATTCACACAAATTTATGCACACATTATATCTTCAGAATTGCCTCACTGAAAACCTTATGAGTTGGACTCTAGATTCCACTTCCTAGATGACATGGTATTTAGCTTTCTGGGACTGGCTTCTTTCACATAGTGTAACTTGGTGTTTCTGACTGTAAATGGAATTGTCCATCCTGCTTACTACCCTGGACAAGGCCTGTACCTCCTGATGCTCCCACCCTCCCTCTGCTGTTCCTGTCACACCACGCACTGATCACCTATGGTGCATCATGACAAATTACTAGAGTTCAGATCCCTGGGGTGGTAACCGAAGCACGGCCTCTGGAGTTGCATTTGGGAGTCTGGAGTCCCTCCGGGGGATATGAGTGTAGGCGGCGGGAATTTCAAGTATATCTGTCTTCCCGGTGTATGGTGGCATGGCGGTCAGGGACACTGAGAAGAGCGACCTGGAAACTAGATGTGGCCAGTTTTTTCTCTCACCTCCAACGTTCCTTCCGCCCCAGATCAATCTCTGAGCAGGAATCAGATTCTGACTCCGACAGAGGCTCGAGCCCAGGCCCCAGGGATGCTCCCAGTCCACCTCTGGCTAGCAGTGGCGGGGAAGCACAGCCCACCCCTGGTCAGCCGCCAAGAGGACAGAACACAGCCCAGCCCTGGCCAGCAGCCAGGTGGACGGAGCATAGCCTACCCCTGGTGGGCGGCGGGGTCCCAGGTCCCCTGCAGTCGCACGCTCTGCACCGCCTTGTTGCGGAGGACACTGTCGTGGTAGATGCGGCTCATTTTCCCCACACCGAGGCCCAGCAGCGCCAGGAAGCAGCCGGAGCGCTGGGCGGGGCACCTCGGGGACAGGAGCCGGGAGATCGCTGCAGCAAAGGCTTTCCCAGCCGCAGATCCCGGAACCGTGCTGCCTGCCGGGGCGTTCCCAGGCTGGACTTAAAGGGGCCGAGCCGCATTCCCGACCTCCAGACAGTGTGCACCGGACTTTCCTAATGACTGCTGTCCTTCATGCCCTTGTAGTCTAAGAAAGACCGAGAGTTCGAGACCCAACTGTCTCTACAGAGACCCTGTCTCAAAATTCATCAGTATACAAAGCGACAGTTGAGGCTCAGGATCTTTCTTGGGATCGATTCTAGCAGGATATTTTCCCAGGGAGCAGGAAAGGGGGGAAAGGGAATAGCCTGAAGGAACCACAGAGTGGTCTGCATAGACGCTGCCCGTGGTCCCGCAACGACCTAAGGGAGTTCCAGGGATGCGTGAAAGAGTTCGGGTGGGAGTCAGATCTGCTGCAAAGGAAACCCGAAATCTCTGCCGTGTGAGCGCGGCAAGATCCTTAACCTTTCTGAGCCCTCAGTTCTTCCTCGGTAAAAGGAAAGCATCCGATGATTTGTAAAGATGGAACTCACCGGTTCCCAGTCTTTCCCTCCCACGCCTCACAGATTCTGATCGATCGCTTCTCCAGTCCCAACGTACCCTCTGCTCAAGGGTGTCTGCAAGCCTTTTATTCTAAGCTTGCTCCCTGGAGTCTCCTCTGACCTGGGAATCACTGGGAAGTAGGCTTGTCTGATTGGCTCCTTTGTGCCAAACCCTGGCGCAGGTGGCCACATTCTGGGACACCAGGTGTGCCCCTGCTGGGGGAAACAATGGAGAAGTGGCCTGGCTGATACCCAGAGAACCAGGATGAAATGTCAGTATTGGAAGAAGCTCTCCCTCCCACCCTGGTCAGTGGTCTCAGCCACTCTGTGTGTGTGTGTGTGTGTGTGTGTGTGTGTGTGTGTGTGTGTGTGTGTGTGTGTGTGATGTCAACAATTTTTTTAGTAAAAATAATTTTTAAAAAGAAAAATGTTTTACTTTTTAATATTATGATTAAATTTCTCTCTTCCTTTTCTTCCCTTCAAGCCCTGCTAAATAACCTTCCTTCCTTGCTCTCTTTAAAATTCGTGACCTTTTTTCCATTATTATTGAATGCATATAAGTGTATACACGTATATCCCTTCAGATAGCCTGCTCAGTATGTATATTATTCTTATATGTGTGTTTTCAGGACTGACCATTTGGTTTTGAAGAACCAGCTGGTGATCTCTTCCCTGGGGAAGACTGTTTCCCCCACTCCCAGCATGCCTCAGTTTCCTGTAGTTCTTTGTGTAGGGTTGAGGTCTGACTGGCTTTTCCTCATACACTTTGGTCTGCCTGTTGGTGTGGTCCATGTTCAGCTCATGTTGATGCAGTCATGTTAGTGAGAATTAATGGGTGTAAGTTCTGACATTACTAGGCGACACAGTTTTAGACCAAACTCCCTGGCCTTTTGGATCTTACAGTTTTCCTGCCCCTCTCCCTCAATGTTCCTGGAGCCTTAAGTGCAGGAGTGTTTTGTAGGCGTGTCCAATGGGCCTGGGCTCCACAACTCTCTATTTTGATTGGTTGTGTTTTTCTGTAGTGGTCTCCATCTGTTACAAAGAGAAGTTTCCTTGATGGATAGTGAAGACTTCAGTTATCGTTTAAATACAGCCAGGGAGGCTTCAGCTTGGAGAAGGAAAAAATCAGCCACTTTGTTTTTAAGGGCCCTTTCTCCTTTAACAAAATATAAATTTTTTTAATGGCTTTTTTTTCTTTTTTTTTTTAAGACAGGGTTTCTCTGTGTAGCTCTGGCTGTCCTGGAACTCCCTTTGTAAACCAGGCTGGCCTCAAACTCACCGAGATCCTCCTGCCTCTGTTTCCTGAGTGCTGGAAAGGCATGCACCACCACCGCCAGGCCATCTGGCCATCATTGTTTTTTTCCTTAAGACATCATTTTACATATTCCAGGCTGGCCTTGAACTCACTATGTAGCCTAGGATGACTTCAAACTCTTTTCTCCCTACAATACCTGCCAATTGCTGGGATCACAGGTGTGAGCCACCACCACACCTGCATTGTTTGTTACTGGGGCTTCAATCCAGGACTTCATGCACATAAGGTCACCTGTCTTCCCAACTGAGCCACATCCCCAGCTCCAGGAATACAGTTCTGAGGATCCCTAAAAACATAATGGGCCCTCGGCATGGTGCCTGCTCTTGGTCAGCCCCATACCACGTCTGGCCTGTCAGACGGCTCTTCTATTTCCCAGAAGGAGAGACAAAGATCCTCTGGGGAGAACAGCCCTTCTGTCTCCTCTCAAAAGTTGTAGGCAGCTCATAGGCACCAGTGGGCCTGCCTTCTCTTTCTTCCTCTTCCTGGGCCATTGTCTCTTCACTGTAGCTCTAAATTTGTACTGCCCTCTGTGGCAGCTACGTGCAGTTATTTAAATTTTATTTTAGCAGTGCTAGAAACAGAACCCAGGGTGTCTGTGCATGCTGGACAAGTGTTCAACCACCAAGCTATTTAATATCATAGACATTAAAATCTAAGTGACATCACTTTGCTCAGTGTAGTGGTTCATGCCTGTAATCCCAATGCCTGGGGGACAGCGGAATTTAGGAAAATTGCTTAGGTCAGCCTGGGCCTTATTTCAGGTACCAGGCTGACAGGGCTACAGAGTGAAACTCTGTTTCAAAAAAAGAATTTTTAAAAGTAAATCAGCACATTTAAATTCACTTTCTTGGCCACTAGTCATATATTTGGTGGTTCAGGGATTTTTGTGGGTGGTGGCTTCTGTTTTTGTTTGTTTGTTTGTTTTTCTTTGAGACAGGGTCTCACTATGTAGCATTGACCATCCTGGAACACATAGAGATCTGCCTGCCTCTGCCTCCTGAGTGCTGGGATTAAAGATTTGTGCCAGCATCCCAGGTAGTTAGTCACAAAAAAAAAAAAAAAAAAAAAAAGATTTTTTTTAACTACCCTTATGGTCAGAAAGATGGCTCATCAGTTAAGACCATGTTTACTGCTTTTGTAGAGCACACATTTGATTCCTAGCACCATCATGAGACAGCTCACAACTGTCTGTAACTCCAGTTCCAGGGGTTCTGAGACCCTCACACAGACACAGAGGCAGGTAAAACACCAATGCACATAAAATAAAAATAAACAATATAATCATCTTTTTAAAATAGTAAAAATGAGTTGTAAAGAAGAAAAGAACTATTATTGTATATATAATAAGAAGGCTACGCTCGCGCGCATGTGTCTGTGTGTGTGTGTGTGTGTGTGTGTGTGTGCCACAGAAGAACAAGGGTGGGAGTCAGAGGACCACTCTATGGAGTCAGCTCTTTTCTTACGCCTCCACATGGGCTGCAGGTATTAATACAGGCTGTCAGGGGGGTGCAACAAGTGCTTGCATAGGTGCCTCACTGCAACAGCTGGTCGTGGGTAGTGGTTACCCTTTCAGAAAACATGCATACAGTATCTTTTTTATTCTGCCCCCGCCCCGTAGTGGGCACTGGCCCCAGGCAAGTGCTCTCACCCTCCATCTCCAGACTCTACAACATCCAGCAGTCAGCATAACCTGCAGACCACAAACCACAGAGGTAAAAGAAACCCCCTCCCCTTTTTTAAGTGGGTTTTGGTTTGGTTTGGTCTGGTCTGATCTTTTGCTTCTGTTGTTGTTATTGTTTGAAAACAGGCTCTCACATATTCCAAGTTGACTTTGAACTTATTATATAGCCAAGGATGACCTGGAACTTCTGGTCTCTCAATGCTGCCTCCTGAATGGTGGGGTTACAGGCGTGTGCTGAATGCTGCAATATGTATGTAGTATGTGATGCTGGAGATGGAACTCAGGGCTTTGAGCATACTAGACAAGCCATCAACCAACTGAGCCACAGAGCCAGCCCTGGCATATGCTTTTATAAAAACTTTCATAGATAAGGCCATTTTGCTACAATCAGTGAAGACCATTATTATTTTTTTTTTTTTTAAACCAGGGATTTTCCTCTGGTCCATGTCAAGTGACATGACGAGGGAGTGAAACCGGGTGAGACAAAATGATGCAAGGTCTAGTGGAACCGACACATGTGACCTGTCATTTATTCTTCTTCTCATAGAGTTGCCATCAGTTATTTTGGACAGGGATACCCTACTGAACTCTGTGCCCACTTACCTGGTTCAGGACACAAAGCATGTGGCACCAAGGGGCCAAGCAGAGGTCACAAGGAGCAGAGAAAGATCACTATAGAGACATGTCCTACGATGCTGGTACTGAGACCCTGTGCGTAACTGACAAGAACAACATAAGGAACAAACCAGATGTGAGTAGGGCATGGTGGCACATGCCTGATTCCAGACTTAGGAGGCTGAGATAGGAGTGTTACTACAGTTTCAGAGCCAGCCTCAACTACATAATGAGCTTCTGGATAGCCTGGGCTATTGTGTGAGACCCTACTTTAAGAAACAATAGGAACTGAAGAGATGGCTTAGTGGTTAAGAGCATTGGCTGTTCATCCAGAACAGCCAGGTTGGATTCCCAGCACCCATAAGGAAGCTGCCAGCTGTCTCTAATTTCAATTCCAGGGGATCTGACGCCCTCTTCTGGCCTCTATGGGTATCAGGCATGCATATGGTACACAGACATATGTGTGGGCAAACATTCATACACATAAAAATAAATAAATCTTTCTTAATAAAAAAAAAGGACCTAGAAGCTAGCGTGTAAAGATTTCTTCCAGTCAGCAGGCGGGCAAAATTGTAAATGAAAGATTTGTTTATCATTAACTCTAGTCAAAAATCGAAATTCTCTCAGGAATGTTTTTCTTTTTTTTTTTTCCTAAAGCAATGCATGTAATTACAAACACACCAATCTCTCCCCTATCCCCTGAAGAAAATAGACTTTATCAAGATCCATGTTTGGAGCAAAACAGTAAAACACACAGGATCTCATTTATGCATCGGGTCACAACTTAGCATATCTGACACATCTCATACTGAGGGAAGTCTGGTGGTTCCAGAAGAAATAGCATGCTAAATTGCCACCAATGCAGTGAAATAGCCTGGAGAAAACA